TTTGGCAGCGGTTAGGGAAGTTCGCCTCTGTATTTCGCTGCACAATGATGATGATGATGATGTATCCCAAACCACTAATCATTGGATAATATGTACAGTAAACAATAATTCAACTTTACATGAAGAGTTTCAGGAGTATCACTGGTAGAGTCACTTTTGCAGCGTCATTCTAGTGCATCGATTAAAACAGTTATCAAGGCCTACCCCAACAGATATTTGCGAACTATTTTACTCATGCTAATAGCAAGTGAAGCTCGTCCACTATTTATAGTGATTTCTTGCTTGAAGGTTATAACAATGTATTTATTTATGTGATTTGTTTCAGGTACCGTGCTCCGGAGGTGCTGTTGCGCGACAAAAATCAGACCAAAGCAATCGATATATGGTAGTGAATTTGAACGAATAATAATAATAATACTCATTCATTAATTGACTAGGTCAGCCGGATGCATAATGGGTGAACTTTTGTTGCACAAACCTCTACTGCCGGGGAAGAGTGAGATTCACCAATTAGAGCTTATTATTGATTTGTTGGGCACTCCAAATGATCAAATCTGGCCGGTAAGTTGTGACCTTTTGATCCAATCATGTCAATTTTCATAGGGTATGTCAAAATTACCTGCCCTGGAGAAAATCACATTGAAGAAACAGCCGTGAGTCAATATCCGTTTGCGCTTACCTGTGTGTTTGTCTGTAAATGGGGTGGAGCTTTCACGTTGTAGTCGATTTTTCTCCTTGTGCTAAATCTGATTTCTCATTTTGCTTTTAACATACCATTTGCAAATGGGCGGAAAGAAGTGAACCTATCAGTCTTAACGGTGTTCAGTGACTCAAGATGGGGAAGTTTCGATAGCGAACCACACACATTTTTAGCAGAGTGAGCGTGCTATTCGGCTGGGGACCAGCGGAGCTGCATGACACTAAATTTCGGTGGAAGTAGTAATAGGCTTAGCATCTCAAACCGTATTGTTAGCGGTGCATCAGGATCGCCTTCATACCCCAAGAAAGAAAGGTTACAGGTCCATTTGTGAAAATCACAGAGGAATTAGGTTAGTCAACATTGCCGCTAAACTTCTCGCTGGCATCATATTCCGCCAATTGTCTGCCGCACGTGAAGAGTTTACGCATGATAACCAGGCGGAATTTAGACCTGGTCGAGGTTGTATTGATCATATCTTCACTCTTCGCCAGAATCTGGAGCATCGATATTCTTTTCGCAAACCCATCATCTCTGTCTTCCTCCATCTAAAAGCGGCTTTCAACTCAGTCGACCGCTCCAAACTGTGGCGCTGCCTTTCCCTGAAGGGTGTGCCCGAGAAATTTATTTTAATATTACAATCCCTTTATACTGGTAGCCGAAGCCGAGTCCGAGCTTACGACACTTTTTCACCCGAGTTCACCACGGAAAGTGGTGTTCGTCCGAGTTGCCTTCTCTCTCTTCGTTTCTATTCAACTTTGTCATAGATTTGACTGTCTGAGTCAGTTCCTTGCGTTTTCTGCGCGACTTGAAGAGGCAGACACTTGTGTTGATTTTATTCGTAACCGTATTCAGATCGATCAACCTCACGCACTTGTTCATGCCAATACTGCCGGCTGACATGGGCCCGATCCTGATTGGCTATTAGTTATATTGCTGCCTTGTTGAACATGCGCTTGACGCGATTGATTGTAAGCGAGTCGTAAAAAACCTATCCTACACGGCATACGGTTGTTCTACTTTGCTATCGGACTACGGGTCCGAGACTTTACCGTTTGAAATACAAACGCAACACCCACACCTTCAGTTTCTTTGAAGAGAGTGATCCCGGTGATAGGATGAAGCAAATTTGAAGGATGATTGGATGAATCAAATGGTTTATCTGGATCTGTTCAATCTATTCCGTTGATGTTAGGAATACATCACTGGTGAATACACAATTAAAAAGTATCCAACTCTTTTTGCGCTTGCCTAATTACAAGCTTTCACTACCACCTGGCTATATTTGACTGCTACGGGTTTTCAGTAAGCAGTCGTTCGATACTTAAGCCTATCGTTGTATCAACCCGAGGGTCGTGTGTTCGAATCCTCTCCTAAACAGTCAGCCTGGAGATTGATCACTAGTTCTCACTATAGAACTCGGACGTCATGCGTGTTGCACCTCGTAAGTGCAAAATGTTTCTTCAAGACTGGGTTGGTCCAGCCCCTAACTTCACCTCGGCTGGGGAATTAATAGGTGAAGTAGGCAGGTTTTGCTATCTGGGCTACTACATCTCACCCGGTGGACACATCGCGGTTGAAGTGTCAGTTGGCATACAGAAGGCTCGGTTGGCATCTGCCAACTTGAGACATTTGTGTCGGTGAAGGATTGAGTGTATGCCGCGGCAGTGTGGTCAGTTCTGCTGTATGAAGCAGAAACTTGACCATCAAGAAAACAGGATCAAGATAGATCGTGGATGTTTGGACACCACTATCTACGAATCTGGTGGGGTATCCGGGCGAGCAATGCTGAGGTCAGGCGTAGAGTTTTAGGTAATCGAGGTTGTCCACTGAAGCAAGTGGTCGGCCTCCATAGATTACGTTGGTCGGGGCATGTGTTACGCATGTCACCAGATAGGCTACCACGGCGCGCTATGCTTGTCGAGGCCGGTAGTGAGTGGAATAAGGCCAAGAGTGGTCAAGCCACGATCTGGCATGAGGGTATGAAGCCCTGACCAAGAGTCTGGGTCACATAGGTTCCGTTAGGCTCCCTGACTGGGGACCTCGGGACGATCGTAACCGATGGTTAGGGACACTGTGTGATAAGGCTGTGACGCAACCAGTGCATCTTCTCAATCACTGCATCATTAATCTGCTGAAATTCTCTGTTTTCTATTCAACTCTACTTTCAACTTTCCTGTTTTTCTCCTATTATTCATCCAAATGGGTAGCCAAAAGACAACAACCCAAATGGGCACGCGAAAGTGCTTGGTTATCAGTTATTCAAACTGAATAAGCCTCACGTAGTTCGCACCGTAGCTGCCTTCCCTAAACACCTTTGTCAATTCAGTATGCAGTTAAATCCTGTTCAATGAACAAGTACCGTTAACTCCAACCACCGTTATTCTTAGCCGTGCTCTTTGCGGAGTCTGCCAGAATAACATGTTGGTTTTTCCGTTTCACGGATAATTCAACTGAAAGCCAAAAAAAGAACACAAACCAAGTACGAGTCTCCGCTCTGTGTTTCTAAAGTTTGACGTTCTGAGTGTCTAAAAAAGGAAACCAAACCAGGTAGGTGCGGGACCTGTTCAGAACGTTCTAGTGTCCGGTGTTTGCTGTGCTGTGCAAACTTTCAGTAAGTTCTGCTCCTCCCGATTTTTGGTCACTTCACTCACCCGTATCTTACTTAGCTTCAATGAATCAAGTTACGTCACATAAAGTAGATCATTGGCTTTAAAGAAGAGAGATCGGACCAGTTGACTGTCGGGTTCCATTCGGTCATTTTCTTGGTGTATTAACCCATTCTGAGCTCTGCATTATTCTGTCTAGCAATGTCCTCGGCGGACTGAGCTTCTCGTTTGCAATCCGCGGTCATGTTCGTCGTAAGTGCTTTAATGCACCATTCCCGTGCACGTTCGATACACAGGAGAACGCCTTGAATGGCTGCCAGAATGTTTTTTAAGCGGACGATGGCAGTTTCATTGTACTATTTGGGACTCGCCGATAGCGTCTTCTGTCTCTTCGAATGTACGGAAGATGCACGAAGTACACTTCACACGCATTTCAAAGTGCCATGTGCCAAAGCAGAGTTGGGATTACTCCTGCTTTTAAGTTTGGTGGTCAGCGAGTGACCGTGGTTGATTGGTTCTCCAATTTAGATGCTTGTGTGACAAATTACGGTAGCATAAGAGGTCACTGCACGCATACCAAAATGTTTTCTACCTAAAAATTCAAGATCTCAACCTTAAGGCAGAAATGATCGTGCAGTGGCGCAGCATACACCACCTTTCAACTTCAGTGAAACGACATGTCATCACCACAGGCGTTTAAGTTCTGCGTACGCTGTTCGAGACTTGGAAATGCGGGTGGTTATCACCTTTGATGCGCTACCGCCGTTGGTCACTCAGCTACCCAAGTCACCAACGGCGGCAGTGCCCCAAAAAGTAGTCAAACAGAAGTATTCACATTACATTGAACTGTTACCACGCGCCCAAGCTGGACAGCCCTCAGTCAGTAAGGGCCGAGTTCTCTCATATCGACTGGATTCGCGTTAATAGTCGTTTATGTGTATTACATCTCCAGGGTTCAATCAGCGTCCGAAATGGAATCAACACCAAAAGGTGTTTGTTCATCATATCGGTATATGCACCGACCAATTGCCGTTCTGATACACAAAGGACAATTTATACGATAAACTCACCAAACTCATTCGAATCACGACGAGACTGCACCTTAACGTGGTGTGGTGGCTTGTGCACCTCTGTAATCCAACGAACTACACAGGATGGCTTTTGTCAAGCCAGGAGATCTTATCACGCCTGGAAGGTCAATGAGTAGAGAATCAGACGAAGTTCAGTCTTCTGGTCATCCAGATTGAGGGTTCGGCTGTAATTGGCGTTTCAGTCGGTAAAAAATGATGGAATAATCGATCAAAGTAGCTGGGCCTCTACTCCACTTTAACCGCTACCTTGCGGTCAGGTTCTTGTTAGAACTAAAGGCTTTGGACGAGAACCCTAATCATTCTTCTGCCTAATGGCTGGATACCCTAGCAGTACCCGTCCATCAAACCCCAATGCATAAATAAACTATAAATAATTCCATACTGCATCGGTCGTTGCGTAAGATAATCAGGACCTCGCTGCCTATTGTGTCGAGCGGGGTGGGTAGTGATAAGTGGGCTACTGCTTAGATATCCCAACCTTTGTTTAAATTCTTTGTCTTCAGCACACAGTCCTCTTCATTTTCCCCTTCTTCCGACTTGTAATAGTCCCTCAAGCAACTTGGATATCACTCGCCAAAGGTCGTTGCTAAATAGCACTAAGTAATGTAATACGAAACGAATTGCAGATTCTAATGCCTCGTCAATCACTGAATCTATGGAGGTTCAACGTGAAGACTCTGATGCAGGTAGGTCAACAAGATTGTCTGGCGCGTGCAATAGAATCCTCAGGGATCGATATTTCCTCCGTGTCAGAGACTCAAATCCAAGATCATACTATTATAAGCCACTTGAGCGCGCCAGATTTGTCGACGAGATACGTTCTTCGCGCATCAGCGGCGACAATGAAACCCGTTCAGTAGGTCATCGCGGGGTAGGTATTGTACTCAGTAACAGGGTGGAGTCCTCTCTTATCGACTGGATCCCCGTCAACGGTTGTTTATGTGCGCTGCGTCTCCAGGGTTCAATCAGCGTTCGGAAGGGAAGCAACACCAAAAGGTGTTTGTTCATGGTATCGGCAGATGCACCAACCAATTGCAGTTCTAACACACAAAAGGACGCTTTCTACGATGAACTCACCGATATCGTTCGGATGAGTCGAAGCTCCGACATAGTTGTACTTGCAGGTGACTTCAACG